CAATCTTTTCTTAGGCGCAGACAGCTAAAAGAAACTCCGCCTGCGTCCCGGTAAAACACAGAAGTGGCTATCATTTGGCGCAGGTGCTATCTCACTGCAGTTTCTGAAAAGTTTCACTAAGGAATCGTAATAAAGGAGGAGAAAATTAAAGGGAACTTTCCAAATTTCACAATTTGTCCTCACTTATGTTTCGTTCTTCCTCAACAGTTTCTCTTCTCTTCCGGAAAAAAAAAATCACCGTATTAGTTGTGTCTGTCTACATACTTTGCAAAAAGCTAGTGCAAGACAAATCTTCGTCGGTGCCCTAAATACTGGAAAAGTACCATTCACGAACTTGTAGATAACGAATTCCCTCTGAGTGGATATGAATGTTTTAATGAAATGTGAAACGTATAAAAACTCGTTTCATTTGAGATTATGACCATGCGAAAAGACCCAGTGGGCAGTGTCTTTGGGCTCATTTACTAGCAGCCACTGGACATCGGGCATCAATGAGCGGTATTCGCAAAAAAATAGGCAAATTTACCGCTCGAGCGCTAGAGATATAAGCTCTAAGCTGAAAAGTCCGGCGCAGCCATGCTTGGTGCATCACTAAAATCACACCGTCTCAGGTCAGCTGTTCGGGAAGCCTTGTTAATTTTGCGTTTAAAATTAAGGGAACTGTAGCTGTTATATTGTGCTCTGTTAAGTTCAAAAGGAGTAAACAGAAGGTGCTCGGAGGATGAGATACTCTTTTATTGTTTTTTCCTTCTTTTTCTTTGCATAAATTTCCAGTTTCTTTTTATTCCTTTTCCCTTTCACAGCTTTCATATATAAATACACACATACGTGTGTGTATATATAAAAGCTCTGAAAAAAAAAAGTATTTCTTTTTCTCTTCACATTTTTCATTACGCTTTTTTATGCCAACTGATGATCTGCGTTACGGGTGGCCCAAGTATATCGGGAAAGCGGTGGGTACTAGCTGGGGGCACACGGCTCAGAGTGAGTGAGCTTGGCATAGCTACGTCCGTCGCATGGGAGCATTTCATGAGGAATCCGAATCGGCTGTCCGAGCAGTCTTGGTATTCATGGTAATTTTCCGGATTTTGAACTGTTGTACAAACGAGATTTATTTGCATTATCGTGACACAAATTTTTTTCTGTGTTTTGATGAATTACTGCTTCATCGTCATATTTCCGGTCGCCATCGATGCATCTGGCAGCGTATTCCTTTGTTCGATTCTGAGTCCAAAGTACCCGTTTAGTAGGGGGCGGGCATGTTTGAACAAGTTCTTCATTTCAGTAGCCACTGTAGAAAGGAAAAATTGCAAAAATTGTATCAGCTGCATTAATGGATATCCCTTGCTGTCCAGAGGATCCGTTTTGTAATAATTATAGTGTTTTGCTGTTGTAATAAATGCACTTTTTTTTTTTAAAAATATAACTGCAAGCAAATAAACAGCGAGGAACAACAATAACAAAGGGATCTGAATGGCACACTTAATGAACTACATTGTTTGTAGGTTGTCTTACATATCTCAAGAAACCAGGAACGCTCAGGCCTTCAGTGTGACTATCCCATATCAGTGATACTGGGACGTTCCTATAAGCCGGCACAGCAATGCGAGGTCATTTGATCCTGGAAGATATACTTCCAGTTATGAGGATCCAATGTATTTTCAGTTTTATTAAAACTCAGCTCGAATCCACGCCACAAAACAAGAGGAGGGGGAGGGAAAACCCGAACTCTGCATCCAAAAAAAAAAGACGGGGAAAGAAGATAGCCAATCATTTTGAACAAAACGAACAAAAACCAACAAATTTCATTTTTTCTTAAATCCCGGCCCTCGAGTATTGTATCTTTTGATATAATACCATGAACCGGGGACCACATCTTCCTTCACTCGATATATGTCTAAATCATCATTCCAGTACCTGTAATAGTTTAATTTCTGATTGACACAGAAGATTTTTCCGGTTTCTCCATTCATCAAGATTTGCAAAACTGCTTGGCCAGTTGGTGTGGGTATCCCATGTTAGTGCTGTTACAAAGCTGCAACCGTACGACAGACGCAGCTATGCCACAGCTGCAGGTCTCCAGTTTGTACTCATCGCCTGTTCAGTGTAGAACCTGTTCCTCAATTCAGGCAAAGTACCTAATGGCGCAGAAATTTACATGGTTAGCATTAACTCCCGTATAAGCTTTGTGGCACCAAACTATTTCGTTTCCATTACAGTAAAATACAGATAATTACTAATGAAAGACGCCAAACACTTAAAATCTGTAAAATGAATCAGCTCCTAATAATGAAAATAATTGGCGATGCGCACCGACTGTCGGGGCGAAGATGCGTTTTTTGTATATTGTTCACATAGTTGCCTCAGCGGTTGACGGCGATGACACGAAATAGGTTAACTCTTGTGTGAAGAAGTGTACAAATGGCAAAGCGACTGCGATCCATCTATCATTTTGCACGAGAGGAACGAAAATTTTGGCGGACCCGTGCGCAGGTACCGCGCTTACTTGGGGGCGGGTTTTGAGCCCATTAATACCTACTTGGACGGGGGGCGTCCTCTTAAAATTTCAGCCTCCCAGAGTTTCTGGTTCCTGAGTTAACCGCTTACCCGTGAAAAACTTTGGCGGGCTCTTACCTTGGTACCACGCATACCTGGGGGCTAGCTTTGAGCTCAATGAGACTTACGTGGACGGGGAATATCCCCTTAAAATCTCAGCCTCCCGGCGTTTCTGGTTCCCGAATTAGCCGCTTGCCCGTAAAAACTTTGGCGGGCTCTTACGTGAGTACCACGCGGGTAAGACCGCCGATTCTGGAGACGGGAACCCGCACGTGCATATAGATTAAGCTCCCAAAGTTTCAGCCCTGTAGGTTTTGTAGGTCTCAAGATGAAAAATCGATGCAGAGGTCCTGCGCACGCACACACACACAGAGACATACAGACACACACACACACACACACAGACAACCTCTCGTCAATATGCGTTTCCCGCATTGCATAGCTGCAAAAAACGCATAAAAACCAGAAAAAAACCTTGCAAATCGTTTGTATCCTGAACGATCGAAGTCTGCAATTGTTTTATCCGGAAATAAGCCAGCCCAATGAGCCTAAAAATTAATTTTAAATTTCGGAGAACTCCGAAGAAGTTACACAGGCACCTCTTTCAATAACTTGTTATACTGGAACTGCCAGAAAACAGTTGGACGCTGATTTATACCTATGGACACAAAAGCATCACTGTGCAATTAAAACGAACAGATGAAAGAATGGATTTCTGAGCGAATAACCATCAGAAAACAATCATTTACGATAAGGGCAGTCCCTAATAATCATAAAATTTGGTGATAATTTAAAGGACCACAAGCAGTTCAAAAAAATCTTTTTTTTCTTTGAAACAGTCCATTATTCATTCGTTTCAGTTCCACTCCGCCCGTGATATCTCACGAATCATTCATCCGTTTCAGTGGCAACTTGGTACTGGTATATGCTGAGCATCAGCTTGCTTGTAAGTAGTCCTCAAAAAGGGACGCCACCTACAGCCCCGCCAATGCAGCTGGCAATCGGGCCATCCGTCTCCATGGAGTGCGAATACAACGAGGGTTCTGACCTCTGACCAACAGTGGCGATGTCGGCTCTTCAGCTGCTATTTACTGGTGCGGTAAATCTAAGTGCAGCGCTATTTCCCACTTTAATTTGAGCACCTGGCATTTCAAAAAAGCTGGTAGCATCGCCCCCGTCGCAGTGCTGCATATCAAACGTGTTCGATCACTGCTTTTTAACTACTCGAAAGTTATAAAATTTACTTGCATTACACAACGCTCAATCCTGCTTTGTTGTTTTTTGCAGAGGCCCGTAAGCGCACGCGGAAGCACCGTACCATCATCGCGCATGAACTGCTCCAGAATTAAGACGTCTGAGTAGCGCACCTAGAAAATCGCAAAATCACCTCCCCCCGGTTCAGATTTTTTGCAAATCTGACAAAGCTGTGCTCGGCAAATAGGAGCATCCCCGTAACACCCAAAACACTGACTGTCCCGAGCGGCCTTGCTACTCGCGGTACACAAGTACATCTAACGATAATGAACTGAGACTAATTTCCGTTCTGGCCTATCAGCATAGGC